GTAAAATCACTACTTGTGTTGTAGAGAGTCCGCACTGTACCCCCTCCACATTACACATGTTAATTGTAATGTTCCCTTTCTTTTTCCCACCCTTACCTCCCTTCCCATCCATCCTCCCCAGTACCTTTCCCTTTGGTAACTGTTTGTCCATTCGTGGGTTCTGTGATTCTGCTGCTGTTTTGTTCCTTCAGTTTTTCTTTGCTCTTATACCCCGCATATGAGTGAAATCATTTGGTACTTGTCTTTCTCTACCTGGCCTATTTCACTGAGCATAATACTCTCGTTCCATCTATGTTGTTGCAAAGGGTAGGATTTATTTTCTTCTTAAAGCTGAATAATATTCCATTGTGTATATGTACCACATCTTCTTTATCCATCCATTTACTGATGGACATTTAGGTTGTTCCCATTTCTTGGGTATTGCAAATAGTGCTGCGATAAACATAGTGGTGCATATGTCTTTTTGAAACTGGGCTCTTCATTCTCAGTGTAAATTCATAGAATTGGAATTCTTGGGGCAAATGGTATTTCCATTTTAAGCATTTTGAAGAACCTCCATACTGCTTTCCACAATGGTTGAACTAATTTCCATTCCCACCAACAGTGTAGGAGTGTTCCCCTTTCTCCAACCTCACCAACATTTGTTGTTTGTATTTTGGATGGTGGTTATCCTTACTGGTGTGAGGTGATACCTCACTGGGGTTTTAATTTACATTTCTCTGATGACAAGTGATATGGAGCATCTTTTCATGTGTCTGTTGGCCATCTGAATTTCTTCTTTAGAGAACTGTCTATTCAGCTCCTCTGCCCATTTTTTAATTGGATTATTTGTATTTTGTTTGTTGAGGAGTGAGAGCTCCTTATATATTTTGGATGTCAATCCTTTATCAGATCTGTCATTTATGAATATATTCTCCCATGCTGTAGGATGCCTTTTTGTTCTATTGATGGTGTCCTTTGCTGTACAGAAACTTTTCAGCTTGATATAATCCCACCTGTTCATTTTTTATTTTGTTTCCCTTGCCCAGGGAGATATGTTCATGAAGAAGTCAATCATTTTTATGTCCAAGAGACTTTTGCCTATGTTTTTTCTAAGAGTTTTATGGTTTTACGACTTACATGCAAGTCTTTCATCCATTTTTGAATTTACTTTTCTGTATGAGGTTAGACAGTGATCCAGTTTCATCCTCTTACATGTAGCTGTCCAGTTTTGCCAGCAGCATCTGTTGAAGAGACTCTCATTTCCCCTTTGCACATTTATCATATATTAATTGACCAAATTTGTTTGGGTTAATGTTTGGAGTCTGTATTCTGTTCCACTGGTCTGTGGCTCTGTTATTGTGCCTGTACCAATTGGTCTTGATTACTGTGGCTTTGTAGTAGAGCTTTAAGTTGGGGAGCGAGATCCCCACCCCCACTTTATTCTTCCTTCTCAGGATTGCTCTGGCTATTCGGGGTCTTTGGTGGTTCCATATGAATTTTTGAACTATTTGTTCCAGCTCATTGAAGAATGCTGTTGGTAATTTGATAGGGATTGCATCAAATCTGTATATTTCTTTGGGCAGGATGGATATTAATTCTTCCTAGCCACGAGCATAGAATGAGTTTCCATTCATTAGTGTCCTCTTTAATTTCTCTTAAGAGTGTCTCCTAGTTTTCAGGGTATAGGTCTTTCACTTACTTGGATAGATTTATTCCTAGGTATTTTATTGTTTTTGATGCTATTGTGAATGGAATTGTTTTCCTGATTTCTCTTTCTATTAGTTCATTGTTAGTCTATAGGAAAGCCACAGATTTCTGTGCATTAGTTTTGTATCCTGAAACTTTGCTGAATTACGATATTAGTTCTAGTAGTTTTGGATTGGAGTCTTTAGAGTTTTTAATGTATAATATCATGTCATCTGCAAATAGTGACAGTTTGACTTCTTCTTAACCAGTCTGGATTCCTTGTATTTCTTTGTTTTGTCTAATTGCCATGGCTAGGACCTCCAGTACTATGTTGAATAACAGTGGGGAGAGTGGGCATCCCTGTCTTGTTTTTGATCTCAGCCTCTTGCTGTTCAGCATGATGTCAGCTGTGGGTTTATCATATATGGCCTTTATTATGTTGATGTATTTGCCCTCTATGCCCATTTTCTTGAGAGTTTTTATCATGAATAGATGTTGAATTTTGTTGAATGCTTTTTCAGCATCTATGGAGATGATCATGTGGTTATTGTCCTTCTTTTTTTTTTGATGTGGTGGATGATGTTGATGGATTTTCGAATGTTGTACCATCGTTGCATCCCTTGGATGAATCCCATTTGGTCATGGTGTATGAACTTTTGATGTCTTCTTTTTGAATTCGGTTTGCTAATATTTTCTTGAGAATTTTTGCTACTATGCTCATCAGCGATATTGGTCTGTAATTTTTTTTGGTCGTGTCTTTGCCTGGTTTTGGTATTAGGGTGATATTGGCTTCATAGAATGAGTTTGGGAGTATTCCCACCTCTTCTGTTTTCTGGAAAACATTAAGGAGAATGGGGATTATGTCTTCTCTGTATGTCTGACAAAATTCCAAGGTAAATCCATCTGGGCCGGGTGTTTGTCCTTGGGTAGGTTTTTGATTACTGCTTTAATTTGGTTGTGGGTAATTAATCTGTTTAGATTTTCTGTTTATTTCTGGGTCAGTTTTGTAAGGTTGTATTTTTCTAGGAAGTTGTCCATTTCTTCTAGGTTTTCCAGCTTGCTAGCATATAGGTTTTTATAGTATTCTCTAATAATTCTTTGTATTTCTGTGGTGTCCATAGTGATTTTTCCTTTCCGTTTCAGATTCTGTTGATGTGTTTTGACCCTCTTTTTCTCTTAGTAAGTCTGGCTAGAGGCTTATCTATTTTATTAATTTTCTCAAAGAACCACCTCTTGGTTTCTTTGATATTTATCTATTGTTTTATTCTTCTCAATTTTACTGGTTTCTTCTCTCATCGTTATTATGTCCCTCCGTCTGCTGAACTTAGGTCTCATTTCTTCTTCTTTTTCAAATTTCAGTAATTGTGACATTAGACTATTCATTTGGGATAGTTCTTCCTTATTCAAGTATGCGTGGATTGCCATATACTTTCCTCTTTACACTGCTTTCGCTGCATCCCACAGAAGTTTGTGCTTTGTGTTGTTGCTGTCATTTGTTTCCATGTATTGCTGGATCTCCATTTTAATTTGGTCATTGATCCGTTGATTATTTAGGAGCATGTTGTTAAACCTCCATGTGTTTGTGAGCCTTTTTGCTTTCTTTGTACAATTTATTTCTAGTTTTACACCTTTGTGGTCTGAAAAGTTGGTTGTTAGCATTTTAATCTTTTGGAATTTACTGAGGCTCTTTTTGTGGCCTAGTATG